ACGGCCGCCGTGCGTATAGCCATATTGAATCTTATCCACACGGCCGCCGTGCGTATAGCCATATTGAATCTTATCCACACGGCCGCCGTGCGTATAGTCTCGGCCGATAAAAATTGCGCAACAATCACCATAAACCCTCTAATCACATTTACCAACAAAAACAATGCAAATGTCTGATTACTTTAGCAGTTGCCAGTTGTGCTGTATTATACATTAATGCTTTTGGTGTAAAGTATTTTACTGCTATTTCTTAGGATAACAGTGGTCAAAATTAAGGAGAGTCTGCTACCTTTACTATAGAAAGGTAACAAGCAAATCGTACTTTTCCGTAGGAGTGAAATGTTATCCAGGTAAAATGATTAACAAGTGGCACAGCAGATTTTATAGCTGCAAGATTTAGGTACTTGGACTAGGGGTAAGACAGCATTTCTCTTGTCTTTGCAGCTTAGGGTTGAATAGGATTAGGAATGGTTTAAATTTAACATACTGTCAAATGTTGCCCAAGTATTACATTTACACAGGGTGCGAAATTAACGGGAGTCCGGAGTCAAATACTTCCTGATTTACTGTCGGACTCCCTGATTTGACATATGCAGGAGTCCATGTGGCTCACTGAAAATTCTGCCATATTTAGTTCGTTCGCCTCGTATAGTTCGTTCCTGAGCATGGCCTCGTGGAATTACCATATTTTTTCAGCAAATGTTCAAAGAAAATTTTGGCAGACGTGCAACCACATGAATCTTAAAAATAAGCACATGTATACGTTATATTGTTAATATCTTACAATTTTGAACCTCAGACTGCGGACTCCCTCATTTTTCTGCGGACTCCCTCCTTTTGAGGGTAGGGAGTCCAGTCCGTTGGACTCCCGTGTTCAAAAGTTAATTTCTACCCCATTTTACATGTCTCATGCATCTATGTTTATGGATTAATAAGCTTGTTTCTACCTCTTGAAATACTGTAAACATGTCAATGTTTTCTGGGCTTTATTGCACAAATAGCATGCATCTGTTTCATTGTTTTATACATCTATTAGATCATTAGTTGCTAGTGGTATTGTTGGTAATTAAGTTATTGTCTGTGAAGTAACAGGTCTGTGCATAGCATTAAATTGGCACTACTACTGTTACAATATATGATGCAGATAGTAGCAGGAGTAAAGTCAAAGCATATTCATTTGAATCTGCTATCATTTTACTGGGAATTGTTACAGTTATTGCGGCCCCTACTGTAGTACTGGTAAATAGAAATGTGTCTAATGACAATCTGGATAAGGCGATTTAAATTGGCTATGCCACGAAGAAGTCATCAAACTCCATAACTGTACACAAATTTCGTCTTACCTATTAGCGGACTTTTTACTAATTACTGTGAGTGCTGGACAATCACCACAAATTTGTGCTGTTATAGGCTATAAGTATAACACAGTAAATGAACAGCAAACGTGCGCACGCTATCTTCAGATTCACGATAATCAAATGTTCAAACAGTCCCACAAAACGAGCGCACATAGTTATGTGACGCAAATATTTATAGACTGGTACCTATCTCGAAATGTATACAAAGGTAATCAACTTCGACAAGGGTCTGGTCTCGTGAGAGCAAAAATCATGCACTGGGTTTGTTGACATGTAAACAGTATCATTCGAAACGTAGATCGGTGCACATATTGGTGGAAAGAATGTCGTGCAAGTGTTCTATGGCATATTAGGCTCACTATATATATTTTGTTATGCAAGGAGTAATGATAAGCATCAGAACGGTTGAGAAAATATGAAAGCAGTTGATAAAACATGTGAAATCCTCGCTTTAAAGCATTTGTACTGCACATATTGCCACTTGAGTTGATAATTCATTGGTATTACTATTAGTGCAGTGCTCGAAATAAGAAAAAAAAAATGGTTGTCCTGCGGACAACCCAGGCATCAAATCAGGTTGTCCGCAACAATTTCTGGTTGTCCCAAAAAAATATCCCCAAATCTCCTATTTTCAATCACATAATAATATGGTCAGAAAACACCAAAAAACAGTGGTGTAGCCAGGATTTTTTAACAAGGGGGGCCAAAATCAGCGAACTGCGCATAGTGGATGACTTAATATTTTAATGGCTCCTCCGCCTCCCTCTCCACATCCTACGTCTCCTCTACCTTCTCTTCAATCTTTGTTTTGGGTGCCATGCGAAAAGGCGCCATTTTTGTTCATTGTTCTCTGCTCCCAAGATATGTAATTGTTCAGTGGCGGATCTAGGATTCCAAGGAGGGGGGTTAAAAACAAGCGGGGGGGGGGTATGGGGGTCCTCCCCCAGAAAATTTTGAAAATGTAGATTGCAGGAGATGGTATTTGCGGCACTTTTGAGTACATGTACAGCCTTCATTCTGACTACAACAATTCTCTTTTTTTAAACTTTTGGATCAACATGAATCCCCACTGTTGTTTGTTTTGCATGGGCAAAGCCTTCGGAAAATTCAAAATAATAATGGAATAAAAATACCAAAATGTAGGGGTGAACTTGCTGGTTTGCTGGTTCCAAATCGAATTCACCTCTCATAAATCAGAAAACCTGACATATACCAGTGTTGGAAATAGCAGCTGGTATGCGTCGCTTTCCCACACCATAGATTAATGGCGGGCCGCCAGGCTATTTAAGTGCTCTTGGAGAACCACTGAGGAAAACATAAATAAAGTGCGTTTGTCATCCCATTTTTCTTGGTTGTCCACCGGACAATGTCTCAGACTGGTTAGGTTGTCCGGCGCAAATTGTGGTTGTCTCGGACAACCGGACAACGCTTATTTCGAGCACTGTAGTGTATACCACCCCTCGTTATTTGGTTTTGTAAATTTCATATATTTGTTATGCATTGTTAAAATAACCAGATATTTTTCTGTAACAGTTACATGTTGTTCATGGACCCACTAAAACATTTTGCTTTTTTACAATCGCCAAGATTGTTGAAAAGAGCATAACATCCAGCTTCTACCGATTGATTTGTAAAAAAAAGCCATATTTTGAGTATTGTAGCACCACTTATCTCTCAAGGAGGGAGTTTTTTTGATTTAGTCATGTTGGCAAGAAATAAACTCAAAAGTTGTAGTACAAAATATGCTCATATTGGATATATCGAAAGCCAGCTTCTACATGTAGATAATAGATCTAGTAATGCTAATTTTAATATCAATGCAACGTTACTAAAAACCTGGTTATAATAACGCATGCATGTGGTGGCTCTGTAGGGATAAAAGTTGCACTTTATAATTATTCAGACATTGCACATAGTTTAAGTTGTTAGAATAATAAAAGATGAAGTTATTTAAATGTTTACCTAATGTATATGAAGTTACTTAATGTTTAGAGGGTACCTTTTTCATTCGAATTTCTTGCTGTAATGCATCTAGTAAAATGATGTCAAAAGTTTAACTGACACTACAACCAAAAGAGGCCAAACAAACAAAAAGCATCATTGAGAATAACGACATGTGCTTTTGAAGAGCAAGTTTTTTGTTATGTTGAGCAACAAAGTTTGGTATGTAAGGTAATTAAATACTAATGAGACGCTGCTTTACAAAATAATAATTCAGGTCGTACCAAGATGATCCTTGCCTTGTAAATAATCACGACTGCCGAGGTCTGGTCCATGACAGTAGCAGCAATGGTGCAATGCCATCGACACCCACGCAGAGAAGCAGCGAAATGCAAACGAACTGGTCATGCGCTCACTGCACTTTCATAAACAAGAGTGATCTCACACATTGTGAGATTTGCTCCAGAAGCCGGCTAGACAAGATCACGTGCCACCAGCCCCAAAAACAGCAAGTAGCTACGAATAGTTGTCACAGCAGTGTTGACGATAGCGTACGTGAACTAAGTAACGGTGCCTGTGGAGTTTCCGTGAACAGCTCAGGTACTGCAAACATGGTTAATGGCAGCAGGTTAAGTCCTGAGATGCTAGATGGTGGTGGCAAATTGAAGCTCGTAGCGAAAAGCAACAGTAGCGACGCGAAGGGCATCCGAGGTGTGCCGTTGCTTGTCTGTCAAAATAGTGCCGTCACTAATGCACCTAGTGCTAATAACAAGATAAAGTTCACCAGAAATTTAAGCTACGAGCCGCTGTCACCTCATTCTAGCAAGCCTTTGCCTGCCATGCAGGATTGTGGCCAGAAGGCCAATAGTCATGAATCACCAAAGCCACACATCACCAAAAACTCCAGCATCGGCGAACCAAGACCGTCTGCACGTCCAAAGAGTGTCCTCATCAAAAGTACCTCGTGTGTAGGAGAGCGGGAGTTGGAGCATGAGCGAAAACCCAGGCCTAAGAGTATGTTTTCCCTCGATGAAGACGTCATGGATGAGGTGTGGGTGTGCAGAAGGTGCACGCTGGAGAACAAACCGCGCGCCAAGAACTGTGCCGTGTGCGAAACACCGCGGAAATCGAATATTCCTACCAGCATTCCCGATAACATTGACATTGCTCAATTTTTGCCCAGACCGCCTTACGACTGTGCGACAAACGAGAAAGTCGTGCTCATTGACAAAGACCCGCCAGCTAATCCGCAATGCGACGTGGGCACTAAGAGCCCGCAGGCTTCCGTCGCCAAGAAGATATCTCGTCGAACGCCGCCCCACAGCCCTTCTGGGAAAGCCGAACCCGGCAGCAGAGATAAGCATCCTCTCCGGCAGAACTCCTCCGAGCCAGCCCTCTTCAGCGGGGTGTCGCCCGCGCCGAAGCTGCCGCGGCAGAACTCGCAGGGAGACGCGGCAGCGCGGCGGACGCCGCCGGGCCGGCGCGCCCCGCAGCAGGATGGCGAGCCGATGGAGGTGGACGCGGGAGAGACGCTGCACGGCGAGCGTGACAACTGGGCGTGCGAGCAGTGCACGTACACGTGCAACCCGTCGTGGACCGACATCTGTGATATCTGCGACACGCCGCGCTTCGTCGAGACGGGCGACGACGGCGGCGCGCCGCTCGACTCAGACTGGGTCGCGGCCGGGTTCGCGGCGGCTGGGCGGCAGCGGGAGCGGCCGAGCCGCGTGCTCGGCATCCCGTCTCCGGACACGTCGTGGACGTGCTTCAAGTGCACGCTCGCGAACCCGTGCGCGGTGAACGTGTGCGCCGCGTGCGGATGCTCGAAGATATACAGCACATCGATGCAGCGCGAGCGGACGGGCGCCTCCGCTGCCGCGCCGCCGCCGCCGTACGACGAGTCGTGGGACTGCGGCGCGTGCACGCTGCGCAACCCGAGCCGGCTGCTCTCGTGCGACGCCTGTGGCAATCAGCGCCCCCTGCCACCGCTGCCAGAGCCGGAGCCGGAGCCGGCGACTGCACCGAGCGTCGAGCGCGCGAGCGGCTGGTCGTGCAACGGCTGCACATACGTGAACTCGCGCGACGTGCTCGCGTGCAGCGTGTGCGGCAAGCAGAAGCCGGCGGCGCTCGTGCGCGTGCCGTCGCTGCCCGGCCAGCATGCCAGCGACCTGATGGAGGACCTGAGGAAGATCGACGAGCAGGAGGCGACGGAGACGCGCGAGCGCATCATGCTGTTCTGCAAGCAGGTAGGCGGCCTTCTCTCATCCGTTGCTTATCATCAGGAGTGTATAATATAGATAATCCATATTATCTATGATTTATATGATTATATATGATATATTATTTATGATCTATATTATACACTCCTGATATTATGTTGTGTTCTTTTATGTTGTGTAATGTTCGTTATTGTTTGTTGGTTGTGCAAATACTTTCAACAAATGACTTTTTTTTCGCATATTTTCAACATACGTGTTTTATTTATAAAGTGACAGTTTGATTGCAAAATAGTAGCTGAGTGAATAAAAACAACAACAACAACAACAGCAGGAACAACAACAATGTACCATACAGTTAGACTTGTATTTGAGGCATTTGATTGGGTTTGTCTATATTCAGGCCGGTACAGGAGATAATTTGCATATTTTGTCACGTGGTTTGTATTATAACCAATCAGATGTAATCGCGTGTTCGTGACGTCACTTCCAGCGATCTCATGTGCAGAAGTGTGAAGCATGGTGAGGTGGTAGAGAATGAGGAGGAGAGAAGCTGGTGGAGAAGGAGGAGGGGGAGAAGCTGGTGGAGAAGGAGGAGGGGGAGAAGCTGGTGGAGAATGAGGAAGGGGAGAAGGGAGAAGGTGGTGGAGAAGGAGGAGGGGAGAAGCTGGTGGAGAAGGAGGAGGGGGAGAAGCTGGTGGAGAAGGAGGAGGGGGAGAAGCTGGTGGAGAATGAGGAAGGGGAGAAGGGAGCTCTCCTTCCTCCTTCTCAACCAGTTTCTCCCCCTCCTCCTTCTCCACCAGCTTCTCCCCTTCCTCATTCTCCACCAGCTTCTCCCCTTCCTCATTCTCCACCAGCTTCTCCCCCTCCTCCTTCTCCACCAGCTTCTCCCCCTCCTCCTTCTCCACCAGCTTCTCTCCTCCTCCTTCTCTACCACCTCACTATGCTTCACACAAATATAACACAAACTATAGCTTCTATTGGTTATAACACAAACCACGTGACAAAATATGCAAATTATCTCCTGTACCGGCCTGAATATAGACAAACCCCATTTGATTAGATTTGAGTGAGAAGAGTGAGAGTTTGATTAGATGGTGCTGCCAGCTACAGTGCAATATGGGAAGCTTTATGTTGATATAGAGAATACATTCGTGATGAACGAAAATTACAGATCTCAATTTTATGAGAATAAAAATAATGTGTGGAATGTATCGCATATATGCCTGCATATAACTAAGCTTTATAGCTTTTAAGTTTTATAGCTTTATAGCTACCATGGCTGTTCGAGAACGCATTATAATATAGCACAAATCAGCATTGATTACTATAGCCATTAAGCCACAGAAACCCCTGATATACTACCCGGCTTCGATACTGAAATGTTAATTCTGTACATTGTAAACAGTATTAGGGTATTTAAACCATTACTTATGAGGAAAATTTTGTGTGTGACTGATATTTCCTAAGAATATAATCACCACAGATACGTGTCCAAGGTTTCACCAAGCTGCGTGGTATATATATACATACATTGTTAATTAAATATATTTAAGAGCGTCATACTCTCATACAAGAAAGATAGCTTGCTTTGATATACAAATTTTATTTGTAAAAGTGTAGTGTCATGTCTATGTTAGTATATGAACTGACTTTGAGGACTATAGCCACCTATAGTTGGATAATGGAAGCTTTGTCGGTAGAGAGAATGCACAGAGCACGTATATCATATGATATACACGTGTGCTCTGGTATGCAGTAATTATAGTGAGACGTATCTGCATGATATGAATCTATTTTTCCATGTGCTCCTGTAATTCAATGTGTACATTGTATGCGATGGCTTAGAACTCGTGTCAAGTGCTGCTAATTTCCACATTATGTGTTTGTTTAGCATGGATAAACAATGTTAAATTACTGCATGTTTGAATTGGCATAAAACCGGAAGGGCTCAATCAAGGAGATTTGTATTTTCTGGCTATGAATGACTGGTCTCCAGGTTATGAAAACCGAGACGTACATGGTAACTGTGGTAAAATAACACGAGGGCTGCACAACTGCTTCAAATAGATGTGATATATGTGATAAACCATTAAAATAATTTTATTTCACTAACTCGCCTGTACATGATAAGACACAGCGAGTGAACAGCCAGCTTCCTCTGCCGGTCTACGCATCATGACACCTCAGCGAGAATCCCTATTAGAAGCTAGGTGCTGCCAGCTACAGTGTATTGTTGAAAGTTTTCCGCCGATGTAGAGACTTGTCTTGCGTGATGACGTCAGAAATAGTTATGCGTGTTAGCAGATTAATCATCTCAAAGAGATATTGATAGATACTCCTGAGATTATTTAATCTTGGGATTATTTACTCCTGATGTTAGTAACTAATAATTAAACGTACATCCACGTACATGTGCACAAATTTTAAAGATATAAATCACATGCACGATAGGGTTAGGCTGAAGGGATAGTTGTGCTTTTTGTAATTTGTTATTGTTTCTGTAACTTTGTTTTATTATTTATTATATTTATTTTCGGGTTATTTACAATTATTACATAACTTCAGGAGCTTATAAATGCATAAATAAATCCATTATAAGCTACTGATAACTTATTATCTATTTTGCTCCAAAATTTAGGAGCAGCTGCCCCCTTGCCCACCCAAAGGCTACCACCCTGAATATAGTAACCAATATCTGGATTTACACGTGAAATAATGAATTCATTAAAAACTTAATATAATTGATAGTCGCACAAAAAATTTAAAAACAAACTTGTAGAGCATTACTATTTCCAGATTCATATTTTGCAACTGACGGGACTAAAATATATATTGACATCGTCCAAGTACTCAAAGTCTCTCTCTCACAGTGTTCAAACTCTATAAACTAAAAATTTAATGATCGTAACTCCGCACCGACGAGATGTCTCGAGTGTCGCGCGTGAGCCGAAGAGATTTACGGTTTTCAATTTCAGGCACCGACTAAAGTTAATGAAAACGATATTGAACGGTAAACAATATTGAATGGGAGTAAACGCTGGCGCGTCTGGGCCACAAGCCTGCATGACTGCATTGTGCTGCATTTGCTCGCATGATTCACGACAAAACTTTCTTGTTCGTTGACATCGGAAAGGCAGTTTCGTCGGTGCACTGCGCGTCGCTAATTGAGGGGGTAATTTGGCAGAAAACCGTATTAGGTCCCTCTGCTTCCGTCTCACGGCTACATTGCGCATGTCCTACCGTGAGTGCATGCAGCCAGCCCTGGGAAAGGCAGGTGTTGACAAGTGCGTTGCGCAGGTACGCGTAGCCGTCAACCACCAGTAAATAGGCGGGTTGTTGTTGTTGTAGTGTGTATAGGCACAGACTGGTTGGTCGTCGAACGTGGACACGGCAGATTAACCTCTGCACCGGTGCGTTGCTGCCGAGTGAACACTAAACACCCGAGGCGGTGTTGTGACATTTCAAATGTGGTCGTCTATGTTGTGCTGTGTGTGTGTGTGCCTGACGACGCAGTTGGACGCTTCATGGGTGGTGTATTCTTCAAGCACAAGCCGAGTATAAAAGTCTGCGTGGTCGACGAAGCTGTTGTCTAAAATTGTAAGAAACGTAGACGTACGTACCGGCTATAGCATCATTTCTGGCTTCAGTGAATTAGTTGTAATGGAAAACTGTAATGGATGAAATTGTTTGCGTTATAATATACCAGTAAATTATTATGCATATATGTATGTAAATTTGTGTGTACGCGTGCGTGCGTACGGACGTGTGCACGTACACTTGCGTGCATGCGTGCGTGTGTGCGTGCGTGCGTGCGTGCGTGCGTGCGTGCGTGCGTGCGTGCGCGCGTGTGTGCGTGTGTGCGTGTGTGCGTGTGAGCGCGTGGGTGTACCGTAGCTCGGTGGTGCGTTGCTCAGACGGCAGGCCGTGTAATGAGCGCAGTAAACGATCGCAGAGAATTTAAGAAAGTAGCGAACTATGTATATGAACTTCAGATTGTCGTTGACAATGACATGCTATATGAATTAGGATTGCGAAGGGGGAAGGGTATTTCAAGCGATAGTGCTGAAAATTGACTGAGTAGTACTAGGTAGCGTGCTGGCCATTTTATGAAGCTTTGTCAAAGCATCGAAATTGTATAGTTACGGCCCTTACGGGGTATATGGAAAATTGGCATTCTGTTGTCGACTCGGTTATATTGTTGATTTCAGTCATATAATATCGATAGTAAAAATGTAGAGCTTCTAAATCATGCATATTGGCTTCTTATTTATCAGAATTTCAGTCAGCTTTCACATCGGTGTATATTTCAACCTTACATATATATACGTTTTTAGTAGGGATATATAATTGGTAATATCAATACAATGTTCTGTGCAGTTAGACTTTTACTCTGCATTCGTAAACTGCCTATAAAAGTACCACTAGCGGTAATTGGTCGTTACCAAGGAAACTGCTTTAGTTTTAACGAGGAAGATGGATCGGTTGTTAGAGACACTGTATCGCCTGTGGGGTCTGGTGCTGTGAATGTGCGAAAGATTCAGTGTTACTGAAGAAGCATTGTGGCGTTTACAAATGCATTATTTATGCTGAATCATTGTCAGCGATCCAATTTGCCGAGAAGCTCATTGTAAAGTGAAATGGCAGGGCAGTAATTTACGTAGTACATCTGTAGTGAGAAAATGTGCAGCAAGCTCTGTCAGGCAGGAAAGCACGCCGATCTGCTACATGTATGCAAAACTCGAACAGTTGAGCTCTTTACGAACTTTGCTTACAAGTGCAGTTTAGCCAGTTAGGCGAAGCATTTGTTGGAGGGGCGGATATCGGCTCGTGAGAATTATTTGAGATAATGGACCAATAAATTTCCTGGCTATCTGGGAATTTAATTTCGCCAAAATAATGACCCCCTTACTGTAATTAATATATTGATTCTGAATTACTTAATTTTTCTAGCTATAACATGCTGTGATTGTTCACATGATGCAGCATGTGTACAAATCTGTCTCATATCTGAAGCCACAGACGCGGAA